CAAGAGTCCATATTAAAACTGACTTCTCAATGAAATGATGGAGACCAAAATAAAATGGAAGCACAACTTTTTTTAAAGTGCTAAAGGAAAATGTGTGAACTCAATTCAGTAACCAGCAAAAATAATCTTCACAAATGAAGGCAAAAGAAAGACAATTCCAAATAAACCAATATAGAATTTGTTGTCTGCAAATCCACACTATACATGCTAAAGAATGTTCTTATAGCTATAGGAAATTAAGAGCAGAGAGAAACTCAGATCTTCAGAAAAGAATAAAGAGCACTAGAAATGGCAAATACATGACTTATCTTTTCTTCTCATAATTTCCCAATGATACAATTGACTCTGTAGATGTAACGCTGTAAGATGGGGGTTCATGATGTATATAAAAGTGAAAGCTATGGGGCACCTGGGTGACTCATTTGGTTGGGCATCTGCCTTCGGCTTGGGTCATGGTCCCAGGGTCCTGGGATCAAGCCCCACATCAGGCTCCCTGCTTAACAGGGAGCCTGCTTCTCACTCTGCTACTCCCTCTGCTGTGCTCTCCTGTGCTCTCTCTGTCAAATAAATAAAAAAAAAATCCTAGGGGCACCTGGGTGGCTCAGTGGGTTGGGCCTCTGCCTTCAGCTCAGGTCATGATCTCGGGGTCCTGGGATTGAGTCCCACATCGGGCTCTCTGCTCACAGGGAGTCTGCTTCCCCCTCTTTCTCTGCCTGCTTGTGATATCTATCTCTCTCTCTCCTTCTCTCTTTGTCAAATAAATAAATAAAATCTTAAAAAAAAATCCTAAAAAAAAAAAAGTTAAAGCTATGACACATACCAAGAAAATAAGGCTTCCTGTCTCCTCACAGGGCACATTAATGAAGTTCCTTTTTTTTTGTTTCATGCACTGAAAACCATGATCTTAACAACCTTAACAACCTAACAACCTTAACAGGGCAAGTCACTTGCCTATGATCACTTGCCTATGATCACATGATCACATATGCTCACATATGGTCCCACATATTTGAACCAAATACCCCAACCAAACCGGTTGACTCAAAATGCCAAAGTGCAGGTGGGGCAAAGAAAAGGTCTTTATTGGATCCCTCTGACATTCAACACACAATTTCTTGGGCAGTCTTGGGCACACAGTCTGGTGCTCATTTAAGATTAGGCCAACTGAAAGAAGCACATGAATAGAGAAAGACTGTATAAGCTTGAAAAAGCAAGCCCAGTGGGACATAGTGTGTCTTCCCAGCAGAGAGAGAAGACAAAGATGAAAGTCTGGAAGAAAGACAAGGCCAGGTAATCTAAACAGTAACCCAGAAAGCCACAGAAACAGCTTCTTCCCTAGCACCTCAATGACGTCTCCTAATTCCTGTCCTACTGACCATGTCAACTGCACTCAGTACCCACTGACCTAGACAGGGGCCCAGTAGATGTTGTGGCCCTTCCTGAACAGCTCCAGTGAATGATGAGTTCTGGTTTGCAAAAATGGGATTCCTGCGCATAAAGGGGTGGGGGGATGACATTACTGTAAAATACAAGTTTAAAGCACCATTTCAAAACTCAGAGCTAAACTGGGTGAGTGAACTCTCAGCAGTGGAAAAGGAATGAGTAAGGGAAAGAAACCTCAGATCAGCAAAGCAGCACATTATGTCTACTGCATGCTGGGTGGATGAAAAAATCTTCCCTTCCTAAAGCAACAGAGTATCTAGGAATAGAATCCAGTCTAGGGAAGAACATCTGAAGTATAGGAAACAGCCACCCTCCAACTCCACCATCTACCTATTCTCAACTCTACAAAAAAGCAGACTTTCCTTGGAGGGATGTTGGAAGAGCACATCTTTGTAGTGAGGTCCAGTCCTAAGGCAAAGGTCAGCTATGCCTGGCAGCTGCATGAGAAGTTTAAACTAGGTCAGATTTGAAGTTGTAAGGGAAGCCATCAGTACCCAGTGCGACCAGGTTGCTATAGTTCCCCAGCATCACCTGTCTGTACAGGACTTGTGCAGGACTCCATGTCCTCCACACCTCCTAGATGAAAGCCACAGCCACACCCCTGAACACTATAAAGGCCTGTTACACCAAAGAGTCCTCCTTACTCTGTTGCCAGACTTGCCTATGATTCAAAGTGAAAAAGCAAGAAAGCTGTCCTGAGAAAGTTAGGGAAAATGTCTTTCCTGCTTTTCATTATAACCCTGGTGTGGGGATCCCAAGATCATTAACCCTGGTCTCTATCCAACCAGCATCTTTTGTCTACTGTCTAGGTCCTGGTCTGGCTACTATGGGGTTTCCAAGCAAAGCAAAAATAGATTTCCTAAAAAAAAAAAAAAAAAAAAAAAAAAAAATAGATTTCCTAAACCTGAAGTACTTTAAACTTAGGGAAACTACACATGAAAATAAAACATAAATATAGTCAGATCTAAGTTTTAGGAATTTGGAGATTACTTGATCTAATGGCACTAGATTGGAGGATCTGAGGCCCTCGATTAAATTCTTGCTGCCTTAGTGTGGTCTGAGGACAGACTCAACATCATCTGGAAGCTTGTTAGAACTGCTGATGGTTGAGCTCCAACCCAGTCATGCTGGTTTATAATTTGCATGTTTACAAGACCTCGGGTGATACAGATGGGACATCACACCTGAGAAGCACTGGGTTAAAGGATCTACCCAGGTAAGTGGTTCAGTAACAGCAACAACTAACCATGAATGAAACTTTCTTTCCAAAACAGAATCTGTCCTCTACATTACAGGTGACACTTTCCCTTCTCTGAGTGAAAGCAGCTTTATTACAAACACTGGATGCCAGGGCCCCACTCTAAACTTATTTCTTGGGGTGGTGTGTTATATTTTTCAAAACTCCTGGGTACAGCCAGGGTCAGAGGAATCTCAAGAAATCACCCTAGGACAGACTAGGGAAGGGTTCAGGAAAGAAAGTTGGAAATTTGGTCTTGAAGGATGTGCAAGATTTAGAAGTCAAGGAGGAGAAGGCAAGGTATTCCAGAGGAGGCAGGGAGTGGGATAGAGCGGGTGGGAAGTACTGTAAGGAAAAAAGAGAGAAGAGAGGCCAGGAGTCTTTTTAGAAAGCTTGAAATGCTCGGGATGCCTGGGTGGCTCAGTTAGTTAAGCATCTGCCTTCAGCTCAGGTCAGGATCCCAGAGGCCTAGGATCAAGTCCCACACTGGGCCCCTTGCTCAGCAGGAAACCTGCTTCTCCCTCTGCCTGCTGTTCACCCAGCTTGTACTCTCTGACAAAAAAAATAAATAAAGAAAATCTAAAAAAAAAAAAAAAAAAAAGGCAGGCAATCCAGATTTTTAGATGGACACTCCTAGTTATTAAATGCTGAACTCTTCCAAATATGAATCCTAAGGCTGGCCAAACAAAACATCTGCATGCCACACGTCAACAGTCACAGGGAATCCTTGCCTATATGCAAGAAAAAATCAGCCAGATAGAAGACCGTTTGGTGGTTTTTATTTGTTTGTTTTTTAAACCTCCCTCACTGAGGCCAGGGCAGCTTACCCAGTGACTAAGCCTCTGAGACTCTAACCTCACTTCCTGCTCTCTTCCCACTGGCCTGTCCCCCAACTCTTCCTCTCATGACTCCCTCAGGGAAGCTCAGGCAGTCTCTTCTCCTGGAAGTCTTCCTTGTTTCCTCATATCTAAGGCTCCCAGGATCCCAGTCATCGCTGCCCTTGGCATACAGCAAGCATCGCTAGACACGTACACAGGGAAGGTCCCTGCACTGTTACTTTGAACCTCCATGGGTGTTAACAGCTAATTTCTTGGTGTTTAAGTCACGAGTGGGGCAGAGAAGAACCGTCGACAGAGGGCTCCAATTAAGACTAGGCTCTTCTCCAGAGCCAGGGATGAACTGAATTCACTATGAACAAGGCAGCGGGGCAAAAGAAGGGAATGAATTCATTTCCCAAAAGCTAAGAAGTAATTTTAGTCTTTTTTTCTCCCTAGTTCAGGCCACGTGGACGTTTTCTTGGGTCTTCCTAGAGAACTGAATTTCTCAAAGCCTGTCTGAGGAAGGTAAAGACAAGTGAGAGGGTGCCCGGCTGTAAACACCCTCCCACGACTGTAGTGGGGCTTATTCTCCAGCTTCTAGATTGGAGTGTTCCTGATGGGCGCCAACGCAACCCTGTTCGCAACCAGAGCCCGGAACAAAGATCCAAAAGCCAAGCCAAAGGCGGGCTCTATTCCAAGCTACGGTCAAAGAGTGAGGTTCCTGTTCCCCAGCAGACAAGTGAGAGTTTGCCCTAAACTCTGGGGACTCCAACAGAGGAAAAAGATCTCAGGGACGCCGCAGTGAATATTTCGGGTTGAGGGCGTGTGTTCAGAACCCGGGTCTACCTCGCACGAGATGGGAGACCTCAGGAAGACTGCTCTGGGTCTTTCAGCTTCGCTCTCTCCACGGACCTCAACACAGTTAAAAGGGCACGTGAGCGAGACGAGACCACGCCTACCGGTCGTTCACAAAACACCGGACAAGGTGGGCAACACCGCCACGGGAGAGCCGCAACCCCACCTCCCTACTGCTGCTGACCCCAGCCAATCCCAGAAGCCAAGCCGAACCTCCCCGTGATGCGTCATTTCCGCCGGTCCGTAGGCGGGCCAGCACCGGATGCGGAAGTCACTGCAGGGGGCAGTGGGGAGTGTAGTCTTTGAGGCGGAAGCGTTAGAGAAACGGTCACGGCAGGGCGAGAAGCTTCACCCGGGACCCTGTACATGTTTTGTGAACGTGGTTTAAAAAAATACCGAGGATCCAGGTGCCGCAGTGGTCATTCTCTAATGACCGGGGCACGTTACCCAGAATTGGCTCACTGGCAGGCCATTGGGAGCTGTGGGCTGTCAGTGCGCGTCTGGCTGCGCGGAGCATCCTGGGAGGTGTGGTCCCAGCGCCACGCCGAGGATGCTGGGTAGTGTAGTCCCGGCACCGTACAGAAGTAGGTCCCCAGCTGGTGGCTGGAGTGACCCCTTGTTCTTTGGTGGCGCTGGTGAGTGAGGCTCCCGCGGGATCCTTGCGGCAACTGTGCCCTTCCTGGCGCAGCAAGGTAGGTCCTAAAAGGCTGGTCTATGGGCTGAGGCTGGGGACGGTGCAGATGGCGGGGAGAGGAGGTAGTGGTGGAGACAAGCTGTCGTGGCTCAGGCCGTGCTCTCCCGGATGTCTTATTTTGGGAAGTGTGGGCGCGCATCTCCGAGGAACGTGGGTGAAGCTCAGCCGCAGAGCCCAGTGGTAGTGGGTCCTGGGCTTGGGCCTTTCGTCCAAGGGTTCCTGCGGGTGGGGACAGGTTCGGCCTTTGCGGAAATCGCGGTGTTGAGAGAGGGCTCGCTCATGTCACAACTCCCCAGGTTTGCGGAGAGTTCAGTAAGTAGGCTTTTGGGGGTTGTTATTTCCTAGGTTGTGGTGTGGGAGCCGTCCCTGGGGCCATGTGTCCGGGGTTTCGGTGGGTGGATGTTGATCGCCTCTTTTTTTTGGGTCCAGCTACCCCTCAGCTTTGCCGAGGCGGGGCGACAGGCTGGCTGGCTTGGCCAGACGGGCCCGATTTGCACTGGGTGTGGAGTGGCCATTTTGGCGCGATCCTACTCCCTCAGTTTGGCTGGTCGCCCCAGGGTTCCGGCCTTGGAGGAAGAGGTCGGGTTAGGGTGCACTAGGCAAGTTTTTCAGAGTCCCCAGGATCCTCGCTGACCACAGGAATCACAGATTCCCACACCTCTGGTGTGAACAGGCTTTGGCATTTGAAGGTCCATTTTAACTTTTTATGTTGGAGAAATTTCAGTCAGAAGTAGATAAAACTCCACAGACCCATTACTCAAATGGGTTATCACCTTATGACCGGTTTTGATTTCTTCCATGAGGGATACACTGAGAATCCTTAGAACCCACAGAGATTCGCCATCACCACCCTTACTGGTTAAGAATATGGCCTCTACAGCCAGATCTCATCCAGGCTGTCATAGCTGTGCCACCTTGGGCAAGAGACTGACCTCTCTGTGTCTTCGTTTTCTTATGTGTAAAATGAAGATAAGAAATTGTGCTTCACTGGGTGAGGAGGATGAGGTGGAACTCCTACAGAGCCTGGAACAGTCGCTGGTGTATATTTAGTGCGCTGGATAAGTACTATTCTTACTAAGAACAAAGGTGAGAGAGGATCAGCTCTGCTCATGCTCAGTGTCAACGGCATTTTAGGGCAGGCTGTGTTCCCAGAAAGCTACCCACAGTCTTGTCTTCTGTGATAGGTCCATTACTTTAAGGAGGAGGCCCTACCCTACTGGAACTTGAGGGTTTCCAGTAACTCTTCTGAACCTTTTTTTATTTTTGATCTGCCTTCTGTAGCCCCTGCCTGCCAAGAGAGGACTGCCTGGTGGGCAGAGAGAGGACTGCTGGGCTCCTGACAGTCCACCTTCAGGTGGGGACCCTTCCCCATTTGCATGCCAAACCTCAGTAGGTTTCCTTTGCTCAACTTAGATATCTTGTGCCCTACAGTGTCCCATCTGCATGAAAACAAGGTAACAGTTTTCACAAGGACTGTTCCTCAGACCTTGTGTCCTCATTTGTGACCCTCTTGATTTCTCCATGCCTCTCTGCTTCAGTAGAAACTCTGTTGATTGAGCTTAGATGCGAGCCCACTGCGGAGCATTCCTGGATTCCAGTGTGTCCTTGTCAGCAGCAGAACACATATGATCAGGACTCTTGGGCTCTCAGGCTGCATCGTGACTGTCCAGCTGTCCTGCTGGATTAGGTACCTCATCTTTTGAGTCACTGATCAAATACCTGGCACCTGGCTAGGCTAAGCGGATGATGGAGTGTGAAGACACGTATTGTTGTCATTGCTGGTTGGAAGGGACATTCGGGGGTGGGGGAGAGGTGGCTGATTGGAAAGGCATGGGGAGGGCGTTGTTGGAATGAGCCCTAAATGACAAGTTGATGAGGGTGGCCTTGTTCTGAGGGCAGGGGGGAGCAGAGCAGTGGCAGGATTTCCCACTCCAGGTATGGCTCTTTGTCTCCTTTCCATTAGAGCTGAGCTTGAAAAAATTGCCTCTGCTGCTGTCTTCATGTCTGTCCTTCATTCATCTCTTAAACATTCCACTGAGGCCTTTTCAGCTCTACCCACTGAAAAACATTATCATCGAGGGTGGGCATCGTGTGGCTAATGCCACAGTCAGTTCTCTGCAACATTTTACGTTGTTGCATCGTACTTCCTTCTCTTTAAAAAATCCTTTCATGTCGTGGCTCCTGGTTTCCAGGTTTTCCTCCTACCTCATAGGCTGCTCCTCCTGTCCCTCTCCCAGCTTCTCTTGTCCCAAATCCCCACTGCTCTTGGACCTCTCATCTTCTCCAGGCACACCGTCTCTGTGGTGGCCCCATCTCCTCTCAAGGTCTTAAATGCCATCTCTCTGAGGTTCAGCCTAGACCTAGGCCTTTCACCCCAGATTCCAGTCTCACACTGTCTACTTAGAATTTCCTCATGGATATATGTCGTTGGCATCCCAAACCTAATGTGTCCAACAACAAACTCTGATCCCCTCCCCCAAACATGCTCCACCCCAAAAGAATATAGAGCACTTTCTCAGAGAGCTTAGCTCTCATAGGGAGCAGAGACATGACATCTCCTTCCTTCAGATTGCTCAGGCTCAAAACCTTGGAGTCATTCTTAACTTTCATACCCCATCCCCAGTAAGCAAATCTGGGCCCTTAACAATCTCCAACCTCTGCTGCTTCCGTCGTGGCCAAAACCACCACCATGTCTCCTGGCTCACCTGGGTGATCATAGCCCTTGAGTGATCTCTTTGCATCTTCCTTCATCCCCCTAACATATATTAGCCAGTACAGCAACCAGAGGGATCCTTTAAAATGTCAATCAGATCACGTTATGCATTTGCTCAAAACCTTCTAGTTGCTTCTTATCTCAGGCAGAGTCAGACCCAGTATCCTACAAAGCTGCATTTGCTCTCCCCCCATGTGGAAATGAACTTTCTCCCACTCAGTCTCAAACACAGCACACCAGCCACAGTGAACTCTGTACTTTGACCGGGTGCTGGCTCTTGTCTGCGACGCTCAGCATACCAAACCCAGTGAACTGGCTCTTTTCAAAGCTACCCACTTGGCTCACTGCTTCACAGGCTTTAGATGTTAACTCCGTCACCTTTTCAGAGAGCCCATGCCTAACCACTATTTAAAATTCTAATCACCCCGGGCGCCTGGGTGGTTCAGTGGGTTAAGCCTCTGCCTTCGGCTCAGGTCATGATCTCAGGGTCCTGGGATCGAGCCCCGCATCGGGCTCTCTGCTCAGTGGAGAGCCTGCTTCCCCCTCTCTCTCCGCCTGCCTCTCTGCCTCCTTGTGATCTCTGTCAAATAAATAAAATCTTTTTTAAAAATAAATAAATAAATAAATAAAAATAAAATTCTAATCCCCCCAATTAAATAAATGACTAAATAAATAAATTTTTAAAATTCCCAAAGCCCACCCTGCTTCTCTTAACTTTTCTCCTTCCCTCCTATATTGGTCTTCATCTCACTCATCACTTCCTGGTGTACTGTGTGTTTTACTCATTAATTTAGTATGCTTGTCTTCCTTCTCTGGACGATATTTTTTGTCTTTGTTCACTTTTGTATCCCCAGTGTCTAAAATAGTGTCTATCATACAGTAGAAGCTTAATAAATATTTTACTGACTGAATGAATGACCCAGCCATATATAGATAGACCTAATTCTGGGAAGAATGGATGAGGCTGAGTGGGTTGCTGGGAGAGGGTCTGCAGACCCTACCAGGAGGATCCCTGGCCATTGTCCTTCTCCCCCAGCGGGTACGGGAGTGGGGAGGAATTGAGAGGGTTCTCAGAGGGAGAATCAGTTGGCCTTGGTAACGGGCTTTCTGTGGCAAGTGGGGAAGTAGGCCTGGTGCCTGAGTAGGGCACGTGGGCAAGAGGGAAGGTGCTTCTGTCATTAAGAAAGTTAAGGGAGAAGGCTTGGCATGTCTGGAAGGGTTCTGATTGTTGATTGCTACAGGACAAACCACCCCAAAATTTAGTGGCTTGAAAGAATTGGCATGTTATAATTTCTCACAATTCTTTGGGTTTACTGGGATCAGCTTTGTGGTTCTTCTGCTATGTGTGTTATAGATCTGACTGTGGCCACAGTCCCTTGGGGCCTTGCTTGGGTTAGAACTTCAGAGATGGTTCCCTCATATATGTGGCCCTTTCTGAGTTGGCTAGAAGGCTGGGATCAGCTGGGACAGCTGGGCCTCACTCTCTCCATGTAGTATCAGGGCCTCTGTCTCTGCATGATTTCTTCGGCAGAGAGGTTGAAGTTCTGACATGGTTATCTTGGGCCTCCCTATATCGTAAGTTCTCTGGTCTTCTTAAGACATAAATCTGTAACTGACAGAGTGTCACTTGGGCCACGTTGATTGGGCAAAACAGCAGCAAGGCCAACCTGAAGGAGCTCCCGGTGTTTGAAGCTGGAATAATTTCAGCAGCCAAATAGTCATGATATTCTATTATAACCCGTGGGATAAGATGTGAATCCATACCAATATAAAGAATTGAATAAATTTAAAGAATAAGGAGAAGGGATAGCTCTTGCTTACAAAACAATTAATTAATTTAGAATTAAAAAGAAAGATAGAACCTCGTCATTTGGTAAATACCACCGAGTGGACATTTGAAGAGAATCAGGGTATTTGTATAATCTCAAAGTATCTCTCCCAAGATATTTATTAATTGTAAAAACCCAGCTGACATCGCCTTAACCAAGTGATCAAGATCAAGGTTAATATCATCAGTAATGAGGCAGAACAGTATCATCAACCCCTTGATGCAGTGCACTGAAAAGGACATGACATCACTTCTGAGATAATCTAGCCAGAAATGAACTAACCTCCTTCTAATCATGAAAAAAACATCTGACAAGCCCAAAATTGAGGGATATCCTTCAGAAGTGTCAAGTTCACGAAAGACAAGAAAAGACAGGAACTGTCACAGATTGGAGGAAATTAAACATACCTGGCAACTAAATACAATATGGGAACTTCATTTGAATCCTGGACCAGAAAAAGGACATTAGAGGAGAAACTGACAACATTTGATTAAGTACTGTGGCTTAGTCAATGCCAATTTCCTGCTTTTGATCATTGTACTATGGTTTTCTAAGATGTTAACATTAGAGAAAGCTGGGTGAAGGTTATATGAGAAATGATATTTTTGCAACTTCTGTGTAAGACTAAAATTAGTTCAAAATAAAAAGTTTTGAAAATCCATCAATCTTATATTCTTGAGTTGTTTTCTTTTTTAATAAGGAATGGGTGTTGAGTTTTGTCAGAATATTTCAGCATACATAAAAACACTTGATTTTTCTCTTCAGATCTGTTGATTAAATGGTGTATTATAGTAATGGATTTCCTAATATTATACCAGTCTTGAATTTCTGGGAATCCCACTTTGTCTTGGTGAAATATTTTCTTATTATCATGTTGGGAGTCTCTTAGCTGATATTTCTAGAATTTTGCTTCAGTATTCATAAGTGATACGAATTTTCAGTTTTTTAAACCGCCATCAAGTTTAGATATCAACATTAGAGTTGCTTTATAAAAAGAATAAGGACATTCCCTCCATTTTTCAGTGCTCTGGGACAGTGTTCAGAGCATTGGGACTCTCTAGTTTGAAAGTTTGGTGAAATTCCCTTGTGATCATCTAGGTTCAGTTACATTTCCTTAGAAGTTATGCATTTCATCTAGGCATACACATTTTTTGTAGAGGTTTGAAAAATATTCTTATATGACTTTTTAAAAAATGTGTTTTAGTGATTCAGTAGTTGTTTCCCCTTTGTTGTTTCTTATTTTCAATATTTATGTTTTCTCTTTTCTTGAGTTAGCCATGTTTCACGAATTCACAGAAATGGGATGTCACTTATTATGCTTTTTTCTGTTCATTTCTTTTTATCTTTATTAAAATACCTAAAGCAGTACATTTCCCTCACCTCACTGTTTCAAATGAATCCCACACATCCACAGTGTTTTTGTTATTATTTTTTAAAATTTTTTAAAGGTTTTATTTATTTATTTGACACAGAGAGATCACAAGTAGGCAGAGAGGCAGGCAGAGATAGAAGGGAAAGCAGGCTCCCTGCTAAGCAGAGAGCCCGATGCGGGACTCAGTCCCAGGACCCTGAGATCATGACCTGAGCAGAAGGCAGAGGCTTAACCCACTGAGCCACCCAGGTGCCCCTCGTTATTATTTTTAGAAATCTGTGACTTCATTTGTGTTTTCCCTCTAACTCCCACCTGATGCAACATTCAGTAAACCTTTTCTACTTTCCCCTTCCCTTGTCTCTTCTCCCTTTTTAGTGGCATTTCTACTTGATGAGGACACATGCCATATACCATTAGTATATATTTTTCTGCTCTCTTACCCTACACGGTGGTCAGTTTTAGTGGTCTGTTTTTTAGCTGGTTTCCCCTGTCCTGATCATATTTAATGTTCATCTTCCAGCAGATTCCTCACAAAGAGCT